TCATAGGCCTAACCTCCTAATTTCTTTTACCCTCTCTCAATAGCTTCCCAACCCAAAATAAGCTAAGAAGTTGAGTTTTATCCCTTCTCTTCCTGGCCAAGAATAAAAATCTCCTTCACTGCTCAGTTGGTGCCTGGTCACTGGCTCCACAGTTCCCGAGAGGGGCAATGAGTCCAGCTCGGGGTCAGAAATTTGTAACAATTCCCATGGAGCATCCTTTCCTATGCTTACTTGCTGCCTGTCTGCCTTTTTTGACAAGATATCTGTTCAAAACTTTTGCTCTTTTTAAAAAAACACTGGGCTCTTCATTTTCTGTTGATCTTGAAGCATTGTTTGTATATTGTGGATAACATTCCCTTTTCTGATATGTGTTTAACAAGCATTCTAGTCTGTGGCTTGTTTTCTCATCCTCTTGACCTGCTATTTTTAAAAGACAACTTAAACATAGTATTAGCTACAACCTGCTATGCCCCATGCTTTACTTGCATAGAGAATGGTGTTTCAAATCCCTAGCTTTAGTGGGCCAGACTCCATAAGCCTATCAAATTCTGGCTTTGCCACTTACTAGTTGTGCTGCTTGGGGCAACTTAGAAATCCTTGTTTTAGTTTCCTCATCAGTGAAATTTACCTACACTTTACAAGTTTGTGAGAATTAATAAATATTTGCCAAGTAAAAAAATACATATAAATATTTCATATAATGTTTGGCACATAGTTATTCAAAATATGGTGTATTACTATTATCATTTAATCTACAAAATAATCTCATATTTTATTATCTCTACCTCAAAGGAGAATATAAATAAACTTGGGCAAGTAAAAATGCTTCCCCCGTACATGTAGCTAGTAAGAGAATGAATCAGGATTTAACTGCAAGCCTGTTTCCAAAAATGTTGGGGCTTTTTTCAACTTTAATAATTACTCTTGAAAGGTACTCTAAATATGCCTCTTTAACAGAAGGATTACTTTGAGCTAAAGGTACTTGCAGAACATACACAAGAAGGGCATTTTCAGCTTCTTTTTCTGACAGAAGGACATTTAAAAAATAAATTCCAGAAGGATGCCCTCTTTGTATCAAAGAAAAGAAACACTTTTTAATGGGAGTCCTCCTCCAGAGAATTCTGTACAAATAGAAACTGTTAAAACAATTTGTATCTTCTTCTAGTCTCCCACACAATTTATCTAGTTTTCCAGAATTGCCTCTTTGTTCAACCTATTATCAAGGAATCCAGATTTTGTCATTTCTTTGGGTCATCAATTCCTTTTGAGGGAGCCCATGCTCCCACAGCCCCCCCCCCACATGCACTCATGCACAAACTAAACATTAAATTTGTGTGCTTTTTGCCTGCTAATCTTAACATCAATTGCTTTCTCGGGCCCAGTCAAGGGCCTTTAAAGGGTAAAGTTCTGCCTCTCTCATACTTTTTCCAGTCTTGCATTTCCATCAGCTTTGGCATTTTCCTTGCTCTTAGTAATTAAACTTTCAGTTTTCTGGTTTTGGTTGACTAACTTCTCACCTCCACTAATTGCAAATGAAAGATTTCAAGTATGAAGTAGAAGCCATGACCTTTTAATTAAAAATATGTACTAATTAGGTTGTATTTATAAGAAATTTTTATATTGCCTACATAACCAACAAAACTGCACTATGACCTTAAAAAAAGAAAAAGCTAAACTTTTAAAAGGTAATAACACTTCAATAAATTTTAAAAGCCCAATCTTACTTTTAAGAACTTATAATTTCACAAAATAAAAAATATGCGTATAGGAAAATGGATGCATATTTAGGCCATACTCAAGTGAAATAGATACGTCACACATGTGTAAATACCAAATAGTTTCTCTGGTGTGAAAAACTAAAAGTGTAAACAAGATCCAAATTTTAAAACTGATAATGTAAAATAGGAAGAAAAGAGCTAAAGATGTAGGGGAAGTGAGAGGGGTAGGGGAAAGGAAATAAGGGAAAAGAAAAAATATGAGAAAAGGAAAAATAGAAACAAAGTCTTGTAAATAGGGGAGGGCGGAGGGGGTGAAGGGAAGGCAGGGGTATGGGAAAAAAATGAGAACCAAGATCTGTGATGTAAAGGTACAAGATCCCAATGATGAATGTAACTGTACAGTGTACCTAAAAAGTACCAAGAAACTCAATGAATAAAATGCATACACAAAAGGATCCATAAAGGTACTATTTACAACACTGTTAGAGAAACTGAATCTGCCTAAACATCCATTAACAAAAACCTCCTTAAATCATATAGTACAGTCCTATGATGGAAAATTGGTCATTAAAATTACATAATCAGTATTTGAAAGAGAACTGTAGCCACAACACATCAGCAAAGGAAAAAAATACAGTACAAAGCATGTAATTTCACAAAAATCACACATCAACTTTCACATATGTATGGCTTCATAAGAAATATCTGGAAGGGCTGGGGATTTAGCTCAGTGGTTCCACTGCCTGCCTCACAAGAGCATGAACCTGAGTTCGAGCCCCACTTAAAAAAAAAAAAAAACAAAAAAAAACAAAATATCTGGAAATCAGTCACCAACAATAATAGTGGAGCTTCTATACTTTCGATTTTTCTGTATTTCTCATACTGTTTTAATATTTTAATGGACATGTATTCTTTTTATAGAACAAAAGTACTTTAAAAAAACAGTATGTAGGAGATTTGAGAGATACATATTATCTAACCTTGGAGACAATGAAAAAATAAAGCAAGTATCAGCTACATATGGAAAATTCCTAAACAGAATATTGCTAAATTTTATTTTCTTTGGGAAAAATAGAGATAAAATGCAACACTAAACTTTAGGATTCAGAGAACATGTACAGGATAAAAAGGTAACTTTTGCGGCAACTGGGGATTTAGCTTAGTGGTACCACCACCTGCCTCACAAGCACAAGGTCCTCAGTTCGATCCCGGTTCCAAAAAAAGATAACTTTATACTGGTCAATGATAATATTCTAAACCACTATATTTTATCAAATTTAGGATGCCTTTGAGATGCACTGTTATGTATTTTCTAATCCACTATGCAAAAACACCTGCTAATTGCATTATGCCAATACTTTATTATCTAGAAGTCTTGTTAT